AGGGGCAGTGTTACGACAGCGGAAGTCACGTGACGCTGGAAGCATGCGCGCTGTTGTTTCTACAAGGATCATCACTGTTCCTCGCAACTCCAGATTTTCTAGGCGCCCTCTACTTTAGTATATAAGCCGGCAAATAAATTGATAAGGGAGGATAATCGAGTCAAGGCGTAAGTAAAGTGTGTAAATCGTTGTGAATTATAGCATGTGTTTAAGTGAAAGTGACTGTGGGAATTAAGTGTATTGCAAAGTTGTATTGATAAAGAATAAACTAGTTTTATTTAAGAAAGGACTTGTATCACTGAAGTTCGTCGGAAAGAAATTTTACGGGAAATTAACAAGCGAACAGAGACGTAACAATATATATATATATATATATATGTGTGTGTGTGTGACAAGTGAGCACAAGTACAAAAAAAAGTGACGTAAGAGAAAAGTTGGAAAACGTAAAGTTAGCCAGCGTTCGAGTGATTAGACACACAGTGAGTTTCACAGTTTAGAGATAATGATAATAATTTGTTTTGTCAAAGAGTGTTCTAAAGTAATTGAACCTATCTGTGTGAACTTTGACGTAAAGGAGACAATTATTTAAAGTTCTGGATACAACTGTGGTAACCCACAGGGTAATGTAAGTGAATATATCACAGATTGTACAGCAAGAAACAAAGTAGAGAAAAAATAGTTTGTCTTGTCAATTGGATTCTAAATTAATTGAATCAGCCCGAGTGGACTTTTGACAAGAAAAGAGAATTATTTAAGAGTTTTAGATAAAACTGTGATATCCTATAGCGTAAAGAACTTTTGTACATACGTTTGACTTGTTTTGAATATATTATTTTAAAACAAGTGGATTGTGTGCTATCCATTTATTGTTCAAATTTATTGCCAACGAGTCACAGACACCTACTGTAGAGGAAACCATAACATACATAAAACCCTGACAATAGTTTACTCAAGAACTTGGTCAATGATAAACAAATACTATATTATCTTTCATTACTGATTCGAGCCATCTTCAAATTGTTATCATAATATCTCTGTACATGTGCTAAAAAGCATTTATATAGATATACCTACATGGAAAGTCTGGATCATAGTGTTAGGTGAAGAATGCTCTCAACACATATACGTGTGTGAACATACACTATACGTTTGCTTATATACAAGTTGAGCACAAAACTCTGTGCCTTATACTGATTTTCTAAATCACATCTCTCTTTTTTTAATAAGAAAGTAAAATTACAAGATATTTTGATCCCTGGAATATTATGAAAAATTGAATGAAAGAAAATATTAGCTATTTAAAAAAAAAATTTTATTGAAAAATTTTAATCATTATGTATATAAGAAATTATATAAACTTGCAAGTAAAATACTTTATTTCTCATGACTCAGAGAGACAGATTTGCATACAGGCTTTCATATGGGTAAAAATGCAGACCAACTGCTACTTCAATATGTGATATACAGCTAGATACACAATTAAAATTAAGATATTGTAACTGCTAATTTATAAAGATATGAGTTTAAAGTTTCCTTTTGAATTTAACAACAGAGGATTTGTCATTAAACCATTCTTAATTTTTTTTATCACCATACTAAGAACAATGTAACTAAAATCTAAAGCTAAATTGTTTACTGTCAACTGAAAATGACATCCAAAAAAAGCACATACAATTGTATACAATTAATCCAATATTGTATTAACATTTCACTCAGTGAAACCAAATTAGATAACTGTTCCACTGAGTTAATCTAGGTTTATCCAATATTTCAATTAAACCAGCATAATCTAAATACTTAGTTGAGTTAAGCATTTATCCAAATACTTCAGTGTTAATCTAACACTAACTACATTTCATTAAACTCAAAAATTATTAAAATATTTTATTGAGTCAACTCAATTATCATCTTGGAGCACCCACAAACAACTTCATATTACTATAAAACTCCTAATTAAAAAGACTATATCTTTATTATACCATTTTCATATCCTAATTTAAAGGTGTTATAATGCAAAATAGAGGTTAATCAATGTGCTTACAATTATTATTATTATTATTGAAGTACTCATATGTCTTTGAAAAGCTATATAAGAGATTAAACATTATATTAATGCACAAAACACAAATTTTGTACCAAAACATTTTATTACCTTCATGGGCATTTAAAATATATATATATGCAAGTATAGAATAAAGAAACTGAATACAAATATATTCTAAACAGCATATTATGAAGATTGTATTAGCTTTATTCTCTACATTTGTATTTAAAAATAACTAAAGGAGTTGTTAGAATTAATATGTATTTTGATGCTTGTTGTATGCATATGTTCAAAAATTCACAATTTATAGATTTAAAACTAGTAACAATGTAATAAACAGACCTGGGTGATTAGTGGAATTTGTCAATTGATTAATCCTTGACCTTATTAATCAATTACATTTAACTAATTGATTATTTTCATGATATTAATATTCCTATTTTCAGCTTGTTCTGGATATTTTTAAAAGACATTTTAAACCACCCTTCACCTAGCATGATATAATAATTTATGATTAAGTAATTCTTTCAATTCTAAACTGTTGTATATGAAAATGCATCATTTACACAATGTAGTGCAAATCCTGTAGCAAGATGAACATACGATTATAAGCAGTCCTACAAATTTTAAAGCACAAATTTTTTGAAACACAAAGAAAACCGGTTAGAAATGGTTTAACGTTCCAATCCTGCTTCCTTTCATATAAACTAATTATTCTCGAAACTCTGAGAGCTCAGAACCTGATATTTTCAGTTAATTTGGGACTAGAGTACTTGTAATTAAATCCTTTATGCTCGCTGTGCAGGCAGAATATGCTGTTTCATGAACATTTGTCTATTACTAATTTAACTCGCAATAACATCCGTCACTTGATGCCCTTCAATTTAATCTGACAAGATTTAGTACCTTATTGTCATGGAAATAGTGGATACGAGTTCAGAAAAGGTATTGATCCGCATCACATTGTGTTCTTAATTCGCAGAACAAACAAACCCTTTGTTTGTTGGACAAGGCGTAGAAATGATCACAATATTTTAGTGCAAAGTGGCCAACAATTCATTGTTTTGATCCAGTAAAATGCTGATTCCACAAATCTCTATCCTTATTATGTTTAATTGTTATTGCACATTAAACCAAAAACAATTAATCCTCTGTGGTAACAATTCCAGAAAAATATTAACATAGATAGGTAGGATTTGTTTCATTAAACATTATTACACTGCACAGTAACATATCATTTCCTAAACAGGGTAGGTTTTTCATGCATTCTATCAAATACAGAATTAAGCTACTTTCATATATCTTTGTTTAGTAAATATGCATTTTTTTTTTTCCCTTCATATAGTATAGTTACTTTCCATAATGCGTTTAGGTTATAGACTGAAGTCCTTGTTTATAATACACAGTTGCTCCAATAGACTTTCAATTAAAATACACTAAGGAAATAGTAATTGCAGTTGACTTATATGCACAACACTCAATCTACTTCTTAGTAATGTTTAAGAGTTCTTTATAGAATTATTGTTCATCAACACGTGCCATACAATATATATATATCAATTATGCATTTTTAATACAAACTACCACAATTCAGGTCAATAAAATAATAATTTTCAGGTTACCTAAGCTAAATTAATAAAGACTAACTATTTCACTATAACATTGTTGAACTTCTAAACTCTAAGTCACACATTAACAGTTTCCACAAAATAAAACAAATACCAATTTTCCAAACCTTCCGTAAATGACGTTATTTCTGGGTATTTCACCACCTAATAGTTATGAGATACACATTAACACCTGCATAAGCTATTTCTCTCAAGGAAGCTCATTACTTAGCAATGGCATTAAATAAAAGATACTTTGCCAAACATAATGAGCTAAGTTCTACTACACTTAATAAAAGTATGTAGATCATGTTTCAATTTATGTAAAACAGTTGGATAGCATCATTAGCAATTAACATTTTAAGAAATTATTACTCAAAAAAAAGGATACTGGTATAGTTCTCATTTATAAACTGGTAATTTTACAGATAATGCAACAGGTCATAATTATATATCATAGGGTATCTCTGATATACACTTAAATTATAGAGATATCTACTCCTTGAATCAAAATCAATCATCTACTTAACAAATCAAATGTGTAAAGTGTTGGAAATTAATGTTACAAGGATCATATTATATTTTAACTAAAATTTAAAGATAACAATGTCACACACACAGAAATTTAGTTCAAATAAATCAATAAACCTTGGAAATTTTTTTACTTAAAATAAGGAAAAATAAACTACTAAATGAGCAATAAAATCCAATCCACTATGATTACAGAGAATTTTTCCACAGACACTTATCATTTTACTTCCACACTTTCTCTTCATTTGCATAATATTCACTTTTCCAAATTTACAATCTTTATTAACTATCAATGGGTTAATTCTCTGCCTCCAGATCTTCTTAGCAATGTTCAGAAGAAAAAGCTATGACAACACTCATCTATAATTGGGAAAGCACCAACGAAATGCAACATCATGAAACTTTTTTACAGGCCACTTTTGACTCACTTCATAACAAATTTATGTAATTTCTTTTACAGCCTATGGCTCATAAGCTTGGTACATTAAATGGATCACTCTCTTAGCCTGAACCTGATTGTTTGTCATTAGTAGTTGAGATGAAAACAGACCCACAATCAGATGACGAAGCATGAGCTGTCACTTCTTCCACACTGATTTAGAAATTGATAGAGAATTTATGTTTCAAATATCCTATGTTATCTTATTCATTTCAAAAATAGTTAAAAAGTACAACTTTCTGATTTATTCAGGTCTTTTGACAAGTTAGCCTCCACTTAGTGGTGGGATCACTGCAAGTTGATCTCCTTCCTTGAGTTGTATGCTCTGAGCACAGTCCATGTACTCTTCATTTATGGCAAGAATAACATTTTCCTGAATGGGACTGAGCACTGGGTACTTTTCCAAAATAATGGACAATATATTCTTCTGACTGTAGTGTCCATCTGGTAACTCTAATTCACTTTCTGTGACACTTACCAGTTCTCTTGCTTTTGCAAAAAACAAGAGTTTAACTTTCACAACCCCACTCATTTGTATTCTAGAGGTGGCTAAAAGTATCAAAAATTGCTGTTTATTAATGACATTTTTATCTCTCTATCTCTCTATCTATACATAAATATTACTAAATTAAAAGAAAATCTGTTTTTACAGATTAAAATTAACAGAAAATGTGAAGTCAATTTACATTTTGCTATATTCAAATGATTTAACTAACATTTTTGAATTCTATTTCGTATTTGTGTATTTTTGCTAAATTAAGTAATTTTTCATGTAATGGTACATGTAACACTGGACAGAGATACACCACCATAAGAATACTTGTTGTTTCTAAACAATACCTAATCCATTTATAAAAAAAATTATTTATTAAACATTAATTTATTTTTAAGCATACGAATAAGAACAATAATGTACGTTACTTTCATTACATGTATGTTTAAACTGAATTATAAAACAATACACACTCCAAGTTTTAGAACAGAAGAGCATAACATGCTGCTCTTTAGAGGAATTTAAACCAAAAAAATCTGTATAATTATGCCAAACATATAATTTATTAGTATCTTCTCATATACTTTAATATAAGACATTATAATTTACTATAAAAAAATGGATGCCAAATAATGCTATATAATTATATTAACTGTATTGATATAGTGAAAAAGCACTCTCTAGTTTTAGTACTATACTTAGTAGAACTTGAAGATTTAACAAATTGCAGTAGTGCTACTAATAAGAGGATATCAGAAAAACAGATCCATTATGTCATATATTGCAACATATGCATATCTTGAAAATCAGAAAATATGAAGGATTTCTTGTTCAAACATTCAATACCTAAGCCCTTGTTGCTGTTTTTTTATCTTATATATTCTACACTTAAAAATGTACTATTTTAATATTATTACATAATGACCAGCTAGAATTTTTAGAACTCTATGTAGTGGTAGAATAATTCAAACTGCGATAAACGCACCAAACTTGGCCCAGAAGTAGTTTGATATATACTCTTTTTTTTTAGTTATGAGTGCCATGAAAAAATATATAATGTAATGGGTGGTATCCATGGATGAGGTAAGAATACAAATATATATTTTTTTAAAACCTTTATAGTTATACAACTTAGGCTTAAACACAGTTTAACTTATTAACATTGTTGAATTATCCAGACCACAACTGTATTCAAACCATCAGTTCTCTTGTCTGTTGCTTTGTCCAACACAAGCACAAAGGGCTGTGTAGGTTAAGTTAGCCCAGAAGCATTTGCATGGACCTGTACATGTCCTCTTACATCCACAATGTACAAGTTCGTAAAAGGCCTTGTAGGATCCAGGGAGGAATGTCCACTTTCGGCTCTAGTAATATTCAGTCTATTCCCAATCCCAGTTAGCAGAAGAAGAAAGCTCTAAATTTCAAAGCAAAGTTTGACCTCAGACATAACCAGCTTGTAGAGTGGCTCTCCTAACATACAGCATTTAAGCTCCTGGAGTTGGTGGAATGTTTTCCAGAGTTCTTGTACTTTTAAAGAACAATGAGTGCCACAGCTGTTTTAGAATAGAACAGAAAAATTGAAGTTGCTGAAGTTTCTCTTCTATGATCTCTTATCTCCCCATTATAAAATAATGCTTAAAAGTAATCCAGAATCCAGATCTGATTCAAATTTTGGGATGACTGTTCCATATTGACTTCCCATCTTGTGCAAAATGTTAGTGTACATCAGTCAAATCGGAAACACAAAACTGATTGCAATACCCTCCCCCCTCCAGGGATGAGAGTAATAAAAATAACAATGTTTTGGGTACAACATGGGACCTATTGATCCATCTCAACTGTTTCAGCCTCTAAACTAAATTAAAATAATTAAAAAAACAAATCTTAAAGCCAGCCCTTATCATTCATATACTTATCAAGCTTATTGTTAAACTCACATTTACTTCCTCTACAACATCCGAAGGCAACCCATTCCAAAGGCCAACCACCCCATTAGAAATATGAAATTGTCTAAGCTGAAGATCACTCCTACCTTGCCAAAATTTATATTTGTGTCCCATAGTTCTACTATTCTCATTGTTAAATCTCAAAAAAAGATGATGCATCAACACTATCAATTCCCTTTATAATCTTAAACGCCTCAATCAGATCCCCCCCCAACTCTTCTGTTTTCAAGAGAAAACAATTTGAGAGATTTCAGCCTCTCCTCGAAAGACAAGATCTCCATCCCAGGCACCATTCTAGTAACCTTTCTCTGAACCATTTCCAACAATTCAGTGTCTTTCCTAACATAAGGAGCCCAAGACTGAACACAATATTTCAAATGTGGCCTAACCAGTGAGTTGTTCAAAGAAATTATACCTCTTTAGACTTGTATTCAATATTTTTGTAGATACAACATAAAAACCTATTTGTCCTATCACTAGCAACAGCTTGGATGGCTTTAGAGACTGATTGACTATTACACCGAGATCCCTTTCCTTCGTAACACTGTTAACGTTATTTCGATTCAAATAATACTTATAATTCAAATTATGATAACCCACATGCATTATCTTGCATTTATTATAATTAAAACCAATCTGCCATTCATTTGCCTAACTCACTTAAATCCTTTTGTAAATCAGCAGCATCCTCTTCACAGCTAGCAACACCCAAGACATTAATATCATCTGCAAATTTAAGTAACTTATTGACTATTCCTTCATCTATTTCACTGCAGTTCAATCTCCTTTCAATTATTGATATACATGTCAGGTACTAAGAATGGAACAGCTCCAGCCACCAGCTATTCCAACTGAAGCCTAAAATTTAAAACCTTATGGTACTCTGCTTTTATTTACTATTATTATTTTATGTCATAAATCATAATGTCTACACCTTGCGAATAAGGCATGAGTTTCACCAATCCCTCACATAAATATTGGGATTTTTCATATCACACATCCTCACACTCATAGTCATAATAATATGAAATGGAATGCTGCATATCAAATCTGTACCAACTTTGGTGCGTTTTATCGTATTAGAACGATTTTTCTCTTACCCGCTGGAATTAGACGAGTATTAAGACTATTACTATTAGTACTACTACTAATATGATGTAGAGTAGTTAAGTAATTATTAGCGTTACTCAAGTTATTATCTTACTTACTCTTACTATAGTACTAGTACTAATATAGTACTAAATAAAGTAGTAGTAGTACATGTACTCAGTGAAACAAAAAATCACATAAAGACTATGGTTTACCAATGACTTTTTAACTAACTGAATGGCAAATCTTTGGTTGCTATCTACTATTACAATTAGACATACTTATATTATAAACTAACCTCACAGAACCCAAACCGAATAAAATATTTAAAAAGTGCAACTGTTCTTTCCTTGTTTATAATTAGTAAAAGAGATATTTATGCACCCTCTATCGTCAGTTTTGATTTCCTTACTCCTGTACAATACAGACGGAAGCGCCACAAAACGTTACGACCAAAATGAATTCTGCCACATAGCCTCAGAGAATATTGCATTCACTTTTCTTGATTTTTTTCTACGTAATCATGCACTAAGCAACCATGAATTTTACATATCAAAAAAGACAAAATAAATGATAAAATAAAGACATTTCGAAATGTCTCCGAAATATACGTGAAATGAAAAGGAACACTAAACTATAATTAACATTGTCCCTTTTTGAAATGTGTACAAAATGACTATTTTTATGTTTTGATTATCAATTAAGAGGAAGAACAAACACAGGATTGTCAGAACTATTGATTTTCTCAAATATCCTAAGTTGATTCATTGTACAACAAATAGTAAGCTGCAAAGCCAGTGCAAATTGGACAGCTCTTTCGTTTTAAATTTAAATGTCGAAAATATTTATTTCTTTATAACTTCAGCGATACAAGTCCTTTCTTAAATAAAACTAGTTTATTCCTGCTCAGTTCAACTTAGCAGTATATTTAATTTCCATAGTCACTTTAACTTAAACATACGCTAGAATTCACAACGATTCACGCACTTTCCTTACGGCTTGACTCGATTATCTGTCTCTATATTTCTCTGTCTGCAATTCAATAATTTGCCGGCTTATATACAATAAAAGCGCGCATCTAGCAAACGTTAGGACGTTCGACAAGTTCCTCGATCTTTCTAGAACTCCAGCGCATGCTCCCAGCGTCGCGCGACTTCCACTGTTATAACATTGCCCCTTCCTTAGCATTGTTCGTCCCGAACAATAGCTTCTTACATTAAACTAATAGATAATTAACAATAACTTAATTAAATGTACATAATTTACAAACGCAAAATTAAAATTCAACAAGGTCTCTTAATTTTATGGGACGTATCTTCTTCCGTACTGGTCTCTGTCTCGTTGGTTTTTAATTCATATGGGGTTCATCTGCTTCATCAGGAAAAGTCCTATCGTCGATAACAGTCACATCAGTAGAAGTAACTTCATTAAGGGCTTTACTGTTTCCCATCTCAAAACCGGGTAGAGTTTCTTCTTCGACAGTGGCTTTTTCAGGTGAGACGTCTTCAGTAGCGTCATTTGTTCCATTGTTCACTTCGTTCCAACTGAAATGCCCTGGACCGTGATAACGCCAAAGCCTTTTACCGTGCACTACCTTTGGCTTACCTCGCCGACCACATTTTATTCGGAAAGTCACGTCTGAGAGACGATCCACTATGTCATATGGGCCTTCCTATGGAGAAGACAACTTAGGAGACTTCCCTTTGGTCTTCCTAGGATTACACAACACACCTTCTCTCCTGGTACAAAGCTGACTTCAGTAGATCTCTTATCATAACAAAGCTTCATCGATTCAGCAGACGTTTTTAAGTTTGAACGTACTTGATGGTGAATATTATCCATCCTTTCCGATAACACTTTCACGAACTCTGACACATTTTCAAGCAACTCTTCATAAGGAGGGCGTCCTGTTATCAGATCCACTGGCAACCGAAGTTCCCGACCAAACATCAACTTTGCTGGAGTGTATCCAGTGACTTTATTCTCTGCTATTCTATAGGCTATCAACAGTGGAGGGAGTAAGACATCCCAGTCATCTTGGTGGTTATTACAAAACTTTGCCAATTCCTGTCCCAGTGTCAGACTGTGGGAGAAGTGGCGTTGTTCTGGTCTTTCGTATACCAAACAACTTGCAGCATTCATGGAACACAGCTGATTCAAAGCTACGGCCTTGATCTGAATGCAGTTCGTATGGCATACCAAATCTGAAAAAGAAATCACTAATAACAGTTGTAGCTTCCTGATTTGGTATTGCAGAATGTGTCAGAGTTTGTAAAAGTGTTATCGGAAAGGATGGATGATATTCACCATTAAGTGCGTTTAAACTTGAAAACGTCTGCTGATTCGATGAAGTTAACTTATGATAAAGATCTAATTTTTGCAATTATTTTGATTTTATTTTAAAAACGGGGGAGGGAGCTAGGCCTGTATCCACCTTTGCAAATTATCCTCGCAAATATGCAAAGCAATCCCTATAAAAAAAAATACACATTCATATACATCTCTAAAACATAATGACACAAACGAAGAAAAAACTCAATTTTTCGCAACATATTTCCCACATGTCTTCACCTAACCCGCATCTGCTACATTTGAGAATACTACTTTGAATTTAGTTAACAGACATATCAAAGACAACACTGATACCATTCACTAACGATTCGCTGCCCACTTCTCTTTCTCGAATTATTTACATAGACGGACTCATTTCAATCGCCGAAATGAAAAAGAAAAAAATCAACATTATTTCACGAGGAAACAAATTATCCGGGGGTGATCAAGTCCCAATTCCTGTCCTGAGAAATTAAACTAATCTAGAAATAACTAAGGTAACTTCAGACCGACCAACTTTTCCTTGCTAACGTCTTGCACCCACCCTAGAATCCAATAATCTACTTATTGAAAATGCGTCCAGTATCAATCTCCAAAGCGCCGTCATATTGTAAGTCTTACACAAACAGTATTTCAAGCGTTTCGTAAAAAACATTCAACTGTAGCTGTTTTTTCGACCTTGAAGAACGCATTCAACTCCGTCTGGCACAACAGCCTTAGGTATAAGCTCACGAAGTCGACTTTTCCAATTTGAATTACCTGTTAGGCTAGGGTTGAAAGACAACAAACCGAATGATACCGTTTCTTAACAGCGAAAGGAAAATTAAAGTTAGCATAGAATACGAGGAAAAGCATTACAAGAAGAAGAAGAAATAAAATTATTTGATATCTAAATAAAGAATTTTTAAAACCAAACTTTAACAGAATACAATTATAAAATCGTACATTCCATTGTACATGAAAAGGCATGTCAGAAATGGGATTCGAACCCACGCCGCCATTCGGAGACCAGAATACACACATCTATTCTAATAACAGAAAGGTTACACACCTTGAGTCTGGCGCCTTAGACCGCTCGGCCATCCTTACATTTATAGGTTTTTTTTTTTCTTTTTTGTATAATAGATAATAAAATATTACAAACAATAAAGAGCTGGTTTTTAGTTATTTTGGCAATAAATGAAACACACGGTATTGTGTTGTGCGGCCAAAACAACTGCAGGACACACTCTGCGTTATTAACAGCAGTGATAGTTTAGCGATTTTCCACTTTCTCTTCCTCGGAACGTTGTAATCCAAACTAACACATTGTTACGTCTCTGTTTGTTAATTGATTTTTCCGTAACTTCAACAAAAAACACCGCCTGAATAAATATTTGCTCTAAAATTATTATCAATGCTATAAGTGTAGCTACCAGTTTGGCCGCCAATTTTGATTTCACTCCTTTAAGTCGCACGCTCAATTCATTTTTCACACATAAGGTGTTTTTCATTAGATGTTCATATCTGAACTGAGTTTCTTATGGACTGCTGATGTCACTTCTTTTCTAGACGATGTTTCAGGCTCTATGGTGAATTACTCATCAGTTCTGTACTGGAATGGAATGGATTGTTTTCAATTTCGTCGTGGTGGAATTTCCCCCTATATTCGTATTGACCCATTCTAATTAGTATGGATTTCGGATTTAAAACTAGAGTCGCTCGGAAATTAAGCAATTTCCCATCGCGATAATAAGTACGTTCAGTATGCAGTTTGTGTAATATAATTTCTCTATAAAAAGGACATTAGCCACCAACCCACTATTTCACCAACACATGATATGTAACTCTTTCCCTAAACAAACCAAGAAATACTACTATACATTTGCCCACGATCACAACTACACATAATTAGC